TATATGTCTTTTGCTAAAGATAAATGTCTTTGGATGAACTTGATGAATTTTTATTGAACAATAAGCAATTCAAATGGCAAAGATCAACCAGGTAGGAAATAATAAATCAGAAAAATCCCCGAACGAATTCATGTAAAAACTGTTTTTACAAAAAAGTTTTTTTTACACAGTTATGTTGTTTTTTTCTCAACTATGTACAGTATTACTAATACAAAGGTAATGATATGTAATGGAAGGTATTTTATCAGGCACCCTAAAAACTTAATTCAAGAAGGCAGCTGTGGCTGAGTGGTTAGAGCGGTCATCCTCCAACAGGACAGTTGGGGGTTCAATTCCACCAGCAGTCACGTGCTGAAGTGTCCCTGGGCAAGACACTGAACCCCTCATTGCCTCCAATGTGTGTCCCATCTGTGTATGAATGTGGCAGGGGTTCCCAAACTTTTCCATACCATGGCCCCCCCCAAACAGCATTAGCTTGTGGCTGAAGCCCCCCCTCGCAAACCTACAATGCTACAAAATATGTAAAGAAACATCAACTTTTAGAATGTTTTAACTTTTATTCACTATATTCAATTAATTATTACAGCTGCTCAGCATAAAAATGTTATTAACTAACATGTTTTAAACACTGTGTTATATTCCCAGTGAAAAAATGAAAAATTTTTCAACAAACTGTTGACCAGAAGAACAGAACAAAATTAATCTAACCTCTCTCTCAAGTGTGTTTATCTGGAAACGACAGACACAGATGGCCCTAGTGTGCAATTTTTATTATTATGATTACTATTTTTTATTTTTGCTTTTTAAAAATCTTCTCTCCCGCTTTCTGGGGCTCCCCTGGCAGCCCCCACTTAGAAAAACACTGATCTAAAGCACTGATTGATGTATTTTCCGGCATATAAGTCGCAGTTTTTTGCATAGATTTGTCCGTCCTGCGACTTATAGACTTTTTTTTCCATGTTCATAACTCAATTTTTGACTGACGCTTTAAATTTTGAAGAACTGCAACAGTGGGTCCTCCTGTGTGTGCTTGCTTCACTCAGCTGGTGCAGGCGGAGGAACGCTGGAGAGCTAGCGGCTCCGGCCACAATGGATTGATGGATGGATGGATGGCGTCGTGCCGCCGAAGCAAAATGAAGCTGTTTTGACCATTAAAGTGCATTTAATAAGAAAAAGTTCAACTGAGACACACCTTTGCTATAATGTCGAGCAAACAAATAATTGTTTTTAAGTGTTGAGCTTGTTAAATTTCAAAGAACTGCAACAGCGAGTTCTCCCATACACGTTCCCTTCACTCAGCTGGTGCAGGCGGAGGAATTTTGGAGAGCTAGCGGCTCTGGCCATGATGGATGGATGGATGGATGGATGGATGGATGGATGGATGGATGGATGGATGGATGGATGGATGGATGGATGGATGGATGGATGGATGGATGGATGGATA